AGGGAGTTTTGGGTGTCCTCCTGCCACAAATAACTCCAGATCGGTGCTTCTTATTCTTTCTTTGTTTTTGTTTTGTTTTGTTTTTGAGGGATATGTGCTTTTTATTTTCCTTTTTTCATTTCTTGGTTTTTGAGAATACGAATAAACCAGAGACCACAACATCAGAACAAACAAGACTTCAAATCAGGTCTCTGTCCATATCAGAGCTTGGAACTAGTTCAAGTTCAACATGTCCGTAAAAGAACTAATTCCCATTCATGTTCATTTTGCCCCAACATCAACTTAATTCATCTTCAGTTTACCCAGCAATTATGGGAACTACTTTCACATGTAGTTCAGATGTTTTTCAAACTAATTCAGTGCACATTGAACTTGTTCATTCCAAGCACTACCCAATTGTTTTTGAGATTGTTATAGTCCATACATGATTTTACCAGCTGCTGAGATAAAAATCCAAGTTTTTCCAGCTGTCGGAGGTGGCTACACTGGCAGCTACTAGCAGCTACACTAAGAGATGGCTATGTATTGGCTATGCATCAAGCTGGGAGTCAGCAACACCAGCTCTTATTTGTGGAATGAGTTTAGCCCTCCTCAGAATGCAACTTTTCTGTAAAGCCTTACAGCCTTAAAGCCTTGGAGGTTGAAATGTTCCCCCACTGGTTGCCAACATAAATAAACAGGCAAAGTAATATAGTTTTTATTGACAAATAGCAAAACACATTCAAACTCACTAGGTGTGACCAAGTATCTGTGCATTAATTACTCTGTACTCTCTCTGCTTATATCTGTGTTTTGGGTTCCAGAGAACTCTAACCAAATAAAGCTCTGTGTCCCCATTCATTGATGAAATCAAATAATCCCCTTTTGGCCAAAGTGGGTGAAATTTGCAGGCATAGGAGACCCTACAAATTGGATTAAGCCTACCTAAATCCAGGGGTTCTTTGTGGAGGAAGTTAAGTGGGTTTACTTTCCTCCATACTTATTTGATATTTTCGTGGGTGGGAGGTTATTTCTGATCTTAAAATAATTAAGAGGTGTCTGAGTTTTGTGAATTTTTGCTTATACATTTTTTTAAAAGAGCTTTGCAGCTTCACCCTGCCCTTTCTGATGCTTAACCTTACAGGCCACTGATAAACCTAAAGTGAGATGCAGTCTGGAGCACTGCCTGCAGAGTTCTTGGTTTTGTTGTTTGTTTGTTTCTTTGTTCCTTAAAGCAGAGCAACATAGGAATCTAAAAAAAGGAGGGGTACCCTACCTGGAATAAAGGTCTCTCTTAAAAATATAATCCTCCATTGGTGTGTTTTATCCTCAGCTCTTTAGTACTCTTTTGGCAATGTTATAAATGCTTGTCTTGCCAAATGCTAGGTGGTTCTTTTAAACTGAGATTGAGAGGCAATACAGAACACAAGTGAGTGAGAAGATTTAAGATTTTATTCTAAACAGCAAGCAATATATACATTACTAAGCAAGCACTTCAATCTGCCACTTGGAAGCCCTCAAAAAGTGGCAAAGCGTCTCCCCAGGTAACCTGTGATCGATCAGTCTGAGCACAAGCTTCTCAGACTCTGCCCAACACCATCTGGTTTATAACGCTGCTTTGGCTTTCTGAACAGCTGAGAGCAAACTTCAAGGGACTTATGTTCCATGTTGAAGTTTCTGTGGTGCTGAGAATGGAACTTCATGAGGAGAATTACGGCAACTGAGAAAGAGACTTGGGACAATATGGCAGCAGGGGCTCTAGAGCTAAGTGTAGCTAGAAAAAAATCAGTTTATTTAAGAACATGTTTCACTTGGGCTGTGCATCAGATTCACCCCAATCCAATTAATGAACTGGACTGGGCCAATTTGTATCAACATAGGATTGGGTCAGATTATGTTGAGGAAATCCTAGATCACACCAGATCAGGCCAGCCAACCCATCTCACTCACTATTCCATCTTTAAAAACAATTTATATATTTTTAGTCACAACAACATAGGAACCTACCCGGACCAAGAGATCATCTTCCGAGACCCTCCTTCGTGTGCCTCCTCCTCAAGAGATTTGGAGTGTGGCAACACGAGAACGGGCCTTTTCTGCAGTGGCTCCCCATCTGTGGAATGCTCTCCCCAGGGAAGTTTGCCTGGCGCCTTTATTATACACCTTTAGGCGCCAGGCAAAAACATTCCTTTTCAACCAGGCCTTTGGCTCATCCAATTTACATCCTATGCCCTTTTAAAATGTGTTGGGGAGGGCAGCTATTGTTCTGTTGTTTTATTTTTATTTAATATCTTGTGGTTTTGTATCTTGATTTTATTCTGTGAAATGCCCTGAGAGCAGTATAGAGCAGTACAGTCATACCTCATGTTACCTTTGCTTTAGGTTGCGCGTTTTCAGGTTCCGTCCCGCGGCGACCCATAAGGAACAGAATGGGTTACTTCCAGGTTTCACCGCTCGCGCATGCGCAGATGTGCGAAATGACGTTACACACATGCGCAGAAGCAGCGAGTCGTGACCCGCTCGTGTGCAGATGCAGGTTCCATTCTTTTCAGGTTGCGAACGGGCCTCCAAAATGGATCCCATTCGCAACCAGAGGTACCACTGTATATAAATTCAATTAACAACAACACCAGACACCATCCAAAATGACTCAGAGCAACAACAATGACAACAATTTTATTATTTGTACCATGCCCATCTGACTGGGTTGCGCCAACCAGCCTGGGCACCTTCCAACATATATGAAACAGCCCCTAGGAGTTGGCTGCCAGGCAAGGGAGTCTCTCAAACGTGAATCTCCTGGAGCGGTGAAAGAAGGCAGCTCAAGTACGGTATACAGCCGGACGAGATGGAAGGAAACATGGTGTCTAGCTCAGTAATGAGCTCATGGAAACCAGCTCTGGAAATTTGGAGTTGCCATGCTGAGGGCAGAGTTTGACACTCAATTACATTCATATAAACAAGCAATGCAAAACACTGGGAGAGAGCTAATGTCGCTGCAGTGGCCTCTTGCAGAATAGGAGGAGCTGCTTGTATCCCCCCTCCCCTAGGGAGAAAATGCTGGGGGGGGCACACTAGGGGGTTTCATGGGGTTTACACTTGCCCAGCATGCTTCAGAGCAGGCCCCCCCCCCGTGACAGCCTCTGATAACCACTTTAACCACAGAGTTGGGAATCTACATGGGTTTCCCCTCCAAATATCATATTTGAGGGGCACCCCCTCCCAAAAAAGTTGATGGGCATTGCCCTTGCCCTTGTGAGAAAGTAGCAGGAACACGGCTGCTGCTGGGCTTGGAGAGGGAGAGGGATCCAAGCAGCAGAGGTAACAGGACTGTCTGCTGGGGTGCCGACTGAAACAATGGGGGGAGGCAGATAAGCCCTGCCTCACCTCATAGATCACAAGATGTGGCGCACACCCCATTTGAATGGCAATGCCCATCACCTTGTGGGGAGCAGCCCCCCTCCAGTACTTCAGTATCTCGGCCCCTGGGAGCTGGCTCCTATAACTGTGCGCAAGTCATTCTCGTGCTCCCCAGCTCCTCTCCCTCTTTCACCCATCGCGGCTCAGCTCTGCACGCAAAAATGGTGCCCCGGCACTTCTGATTAAAGAGGCTGCTGAATCACTTTTGAGAATTGTACTTCTGTGAAGGGAATAGGGGCCTCCTAACAACTCTCAGCACCTTTAACTAACTACCTAGAATTCTTTGGGGAAAGCCATAACTGTGGTATCCTAGGCATAGGGCTCCTGCTTTTACCCCACACCACCCCATATGCTTCAGTTTTTTGGCCCTTTGGAGCCAGTCATGTGGGGATCACACTGCATCAAAACTCAGGAGAAATGGGATGACATGATACAAAGACTCCAAACAAATCCGTTCTTTTGACTGTTGGGGAAAACTTCCTTTGCATTTTCCTCCTCTGCTTTCAGGCTGGAGAAATTTCTGCTTCCTTTGCTCTCTGTCATGACCCAGCACAGTCCAAGAAATAATTTACAAGGGGGAGGAACTAGGGCAAACTCATTTAGGTTTTGTTTTCTCAGAAATCACCTGTTTGAGCAGAGCTGTGTGCTGGTCAAGGTGGGGGAGAGGAAAACTTGGAAACAGGATGTAATTTCTGCTCCAAGATAACAAAAAGCCGCAGCTCCCTTCCCCTTTCTAAGATTAAGCAGGATAAATAAATAATCAGCAACAGAGCTGATAATATAATTTATTATAAATGCTCTGTTGCTGAGCAGTACATGATTGCACTGGTTTATTATTTTTTGATCATATCTCGGAGTCCGAAAGACCCATAGTGAAAGGGCATTCTGCCATAGGGAACTTTATTAGCGCCAGCCATTTCTGAACTCTGTCCGCAGTACAGTGTGTCAAAAGATTTCAGATTAAAATTGCCACTGCTGGCACTGAGAGCGTGGGACAAGAAATTCCTGATGTACTTAAGCTCCCTCTAGAGGATTGGATTAAAACAGTGACTTTACAAATACATTTACTTTCGATTCCCTTGTTGTTTGCTTGCTCTGGGCCTTTCTATTCCTGTGGGAAAAACTCAGTGTGACCTTGACTGATAGATAGCATTGGAATGAGTAGTACAAGAAGAAGAGGAAGAGTCAGACAAACAACTTTAACAACTCTAACCTCAGCCTCGCAGACACGTAGATCATCTGTACCTACTTTGCCCTCAGAAGTACAACTTGAAGAAGCGGCCTTGCCACAGGCAAAAGAGGGAGAGGGTGAAGCAGAGCAGTTACAATTGGAAGATATGGCCTCAGGAGCATCTGTTTCTGTGCTAGAAAAAATCTTTGAAAAATTGGAAGCTTTGGACAAGAAAGTAGATGCGCAATCAGCAAAGATTGATAAAAATACAGATTGTCTAAATAAATTAACCACACAGGTGGGACAGAACACACAAGCAATTGGACAGTTAACGGAGGCCTCAGTAGAAAATCGGAAATTGGCTGAGGACACCAGACAAAAATTGGAAAATTTAGAGCAAGAAGTAAGACCACTCACTAAACAAGTTGGGGAACATCAGACTTATCTTTCCATGATAGAACTGCGAAATCGTGAGAATAATTTGAGGATTAGATCATTACAAGAGGCAGAAGAAGGAAACTTAACTGAGTTTTTGACCAAAGAATTTTCCAAGTTCTGGAATTTGGAAGAAAAGGACTTTAAAATTGTGTCAGCTTTTAGACTTGGAAGATTCATAAAGAAGGAGAGGCCCAGAGACTGTTTGATTACATTGAGATCGAAGGAGGAAAGGGATAAGATTTTGGGCCTACATTACGAAAAGTCACTGGAGGTTTTGGATAGAAGAATTGAGATCTACAAAGATATTCCAAGACAACTGCTGGATCTTAGAGCCGCCTACTCTGAACTTGCCAAACTACTAAGGAGCAACGCAATTCTATTTAGGTGGGAATTTCCCCAAGGATTATCTTTTACCTTTAGAGGGAGAAAGGTTAAAATTAGAACATCGGAAGAGAGAGATAAATTTTTGGCTACATACGGAGAGGACCTACAAAAAGGAATTGAATTACCTTCTGGGCCTGGGGCAAAGCCAGCATTAACACCAGCACCTGGGGAACTTGAAGATCCAGAGAAGATACCACCCCGGGAGAAATAACCAGACAGATCCAGGATGTCTCTGCAACTGTTGAGTTGGAACATTAATGGTTGTAACATTCCGGAAAAAAGGAAGAAAATATTTCATATATTAAAAAAAGAACAATTGGACATTATTTGCTTACAAGAAACACATGTGACGAGGCTCCACAGAAAAGTGTTAATAAACAAAAGATTGGGCCAGGAATTTGTTTCGTCGGACAAAGTGAAGAAGAGAGGAGTGGTGATATATGCAAAAGAGAGCCTGTCACCTAAATTTTTATTCAAAGATGAATATGGAAGGATTCTGGCTATTGAGATACAATATCAAGGAGAGAAACTGTTGATATTAGGAATCTATGCACCTAATGAAGGGAAATCGGAATTTTACAAGAAGTTGCAGGGGATAATGCTGGATCATCTGGATTATAACAACATCATAATGATGGGAGATATGAACGGGGTCGTATCAACCAACATGGACAAGTCGCAAAGTCAAAATGTTACAAAAGATGGCAGACTACCTAAAACCTTTTTTGAAATGACTGACAATATGGATTTGATCGACATCTGGAGAACAAAGAACCCGCTAGGTAGAGAAGGAACATTCTTTTCTGAAGCCCAACTGACCTGGACAAGAATCGACCAAATATGGATTTCTAGAGGCCTGGCACCTAGGGTTAGAAAAGTGGAAATCTGCCCAAAGACTTGCTCTGACCACAACGCAGTAAAGATGGATATGACACTACTACCAACTGGATCCTTTAGATGGAAGATGAATGACAATTTGTTTAGAGATCAGGAAATTACCAAGAAGGCCCAAAAAGTTCTGAAGGACTATTTTGAGATAAATATGAATAATTCGGTGGAAAAAAGAATCGTCTGGGACGCAAGCAAAGCTGTTATGAGGGGATTCTTGATACAACAGAATGTAGTAAGGAAAAAACACAAAATGAGAAAAAAGATAAGATCTTGGATAAAATAAAAGAATTAGAGAAGAAATTAAGAGTCAATCCAAAGTCACAGCCAACTCTGAGAGAAATTAAACTGTATCAAACACAATATTCTAAATTGATAAACCAGGAAATTGAATGGAAGATTAAATTAATGAAACAAAAAACGTTTGAGTCGGCGAATAAAGGTGGAAAACTGCTATCTTGGCAGTTGAAGAGAAGACAGAGATTAAACACGGTTACAAATTTAGAGGTTGATGGAAGAAACATTCAGAATCCAGTGGATATTAGAAAGTGTTTCCAGAGATATTTAAAAAAATTATACACCCAAGGGCCGCAAGACGAAGTTGAGATCAAACAATTTTTGGCAAAAAATGGATTATCTAAACTGTCACAAGAAAATAGGACAATCCTGAACTCTAAAATAACACGACAGGAGATTGAACAAGCTATTCAGAACATGCAACTTGGCAAATCTCCAGGGCCAGACGGGCTGACCTCCAAGTATTATAAGACATTAAAAGACTATTTGATACAACCCTTGATGGAGGTCAGCAATGAAATTATGGAGGGGAAGAGGGCACCGGATTCGTGGAAGGAAGCGTTTATCACATTAATACCAAAGTCAGAAGCTGAAAAGACACAACTGAAGAACTACCGCCCCATCTCCCTTTTAAACGTGGATTACAAAATATTTGCAGATATTTTGGCAAGTAGATTTAAAAAAGTTCTAAATGAAGTAATTCATAAGGACCAGGCCGGTTTTCTCCCAGGTAGACATCTGTTTGCTAACACAAGGAACGTTATTGACATCTTGGAACTTCTGCAAACAGACATAAACACAAAAGCAGTTTTAATTTTCATAGATGCGGAGAAGGCCTTTGACAATATTTCTTGGAAATTTATGATGGGAAACTTAAAAGAGATGGGAGTGGGACGGGGTTTTGAGAATGGGATTGAGGCGATATATTCAGAACAGAAAGCTAAACTGATAGTTTATAATGTGGTCACAGAAGAGTTCAAAATTGAAAAAGGGACACGACAAGGTTGCCCTATCTCCCCTTTGTTATTCATCTCGGTTCTGGAAGTGCTATTGAACATGATTAGAGGGGATCGGTTGGTGGAAGGAATTCAGGTTGGTCAGAAACAATACAAACTAAAAGCTTTTGCAGATGACCTGGTCTTGACTTTGCAGAAGCCAGAGCCCAGTACGAAAAGAGTATTGCAATTGATTAATGACTTTGGTCGGGTGGCGGGATTTAAATTAAATAAACAGAAAACTAAGGTTTTGGGGAAAAATTTGACTGAGACAGAGTCAGAACGGTTTCAGAATGAGACGGGACTTAATGTGGTTAAAAAAGTAAAATACCTAGGGGTAAACATAACAGCAAAAAATCTAAGTCTATTTAAGGATAACTATGAAAAATGTTGGACAGAAATTAAGAGAGACTTAGACAGTTGGTCAAAATTGAAACTTTCTTTGTTAGGCCGAATTGCTGCTATTAAGATGAATGTATTGCCAAGGATGTTGTTTTTATTTCAAACACTTCAGGTTTTGGACAAAACGGAGTGCTTTCAGAAGTGGCAGAGAGATATTTCGAAGTTTGTCTGGCAGGGCAAAAGCCCAGAATTAAGTTTAAGATATTAACTGATGCAAAACAAAGAGGGGGCTTTGCCCTGCCGGACTTAAAGTTGTACTATGAAGCCGCAGCGTTCTGCTGGCTAAAAGACTGGCTACTTCTTGAAGACACTGATGTGTTGGATTTGGAAGGGTTTAACAATGTTTTTGGATGGCATGCATATTTATGGTATGACAAAGTTAAAGCAAATAAGGCCTTTAAGAACCATATTGTCAGAAAATCACTGTTTAATGTCTGGACAAAATACAAAGACTTGTTGGAAAATAAAACACCAAGGTGGCTTTCACCTTTGGAAGCTAAGGCCCGAAAAAGACCCAATATGGAGGCTAAATGGCCAAAATATTGGGAAATACTAGAAAAAGATGGAGATAATTGGAAATTGCAGAGTTTGGAGAAAATGAAAGACAAAGTGCGAGATTGGTTACACTATGCTCAGATTAAAGAAGTTTTTAAAAATGATAAGAAATTAGGGTTCCAGGTGGAGAAATCGAAATTAGAAACAGAATTGTTAGAACCAAAGACTAAGGTACTCTCAAAGATGTATAACTTGCTGTTGGAATGGAATACACAAGATGAAATGGTTAAATCGGCTATGATAAGGTGGGCACAGGACATTGGGTATAATATTATGTTTGAGGACTGGGAAAGGTTGTGGAGTAATGGATTGAAATTTACTGCATGTAATGCTTTGAAAGAAAATGTAATGAAAATGATTTATAGATGGTATATGACCCCAGTCAAACTTGCAAAAATTTACCACCTGTCTGATAATAAGTGTTGGAAATGTAAAGAGTGTGAAGGAACGTTCTTTCACCTCTGGTGGACCTGCCCTAAAGTGAAGGCGTTCTGGGAAATGATTTATAACGAATTGAAAAAGGTATTTAAATATACTTTTACTAAGAAACCAGAGGCTTTCCTTTTGGGTATTGTCAGCCAAGGGGTGGCAAAGAAGGACCAGACATTTTTTATGTATGCAACAACAGCAGCAAGGATACTACTCGCAAAACATTGGAAAACTCAAGATTTACCCACACTGGAAGAATGGCAGATGCAACTGATAGACTATATGCAACTGGCTGAAATGACTGGCAGAATCCGTGACCTGGGAGAAGAGAGAATTGAGGAGGATTGGAAGAAATTTAAGAATTATCTACAAAAATATTGTGATTTGACTGAATGCTGAATAAGATGCTTGACTAAACAATTGAGCACCACTTAACTTAGAAGTTTTTAAGAAAATAAGAAAGATTGTGAAAGTTTAACTCTTTATGAGAACTATAAGATTATGAAATATTGAAGAGATATAAGAATTTAAATAAGATGATAAATTGCTGACAAAATGTTATAATGATGAAAGTGGGAGCGGGAGATGTGAGGAAGTCCAAAGAAAATGTGAAACTATGTTAAGACGAATGTTATATTGTTTATTATGTTTATTTTTACTGTAAAACCCAATAAATTGCTTTTAAAAAAAAAAAAAAAAAAAAAGAAATTCCTGATGTAGACGCTTCTCAGATGGCTTTGCAGATGCTACCTGCCTGCCTGGTCTCCACTGGGAGGGTGGGGGTGGCAAAGAGCTCCAGCTCCCAAGGCTGCAGGAAGCTGGAGGACAAGCTGGGGGAAGGGAAGGGAAGTCTTTCTGCGTGAGGCTGGAGAAACCCCTGAAGGGAGCAGTGCTGGGGGCCCCTGCATTATGTCCCTTAAGGCTGAAGGTGTCAGATAATGCCACTTCCGGACCTGGCCCAGGAGTTGGGGTTGCGGGCTTCACGCCCACCTCACGTGAGCGGGGGCTGGTTTCAGCCCCCATGAGAGCAGGGGAATCCCGGCCGCGTCGTCCACCCAGCCAGCCAATCGGGTGGCTGGGAGCGCGTGGCCTGCCCTATTTAGGGCCGGCACGGCCAGGGCTCGCCCTCTTTTGCCGGCTAGCCCCCGCATTTTCCCACCCTCCCTCCCTTTAGGTAGGTAGGTTTCTGACTTTGCTATGGACTTCGGTCTGTCGCCGCAAGGGGCATGGTAGGAATTTTTCCCAATTGGCAATTTGCAGCCATTTGGTTTTTCGCCTACCTCGTAGCAACTCGTCACAACTCCTCGGCATTGGCGGTTAGGCATTGGTAAGAAGGGGTTAAGAGGATGTGGGGGGGGGGAATGCCATCACCTCCCCCCAGAGAATGAAGGGTGGTCCAGTAAAGGACTCTGGGGGGGCGTGGCCCTGTCTGAAGCCTATGGAGGTGTGGGCCAAAGGCACGCCCCCGAGGGGTGACCCGGGGGAGCTCCTAGTTGACGTGCCTCAGCAGGAGACTCCCCCACTATGGTGTTAACCCTTCCCATGTCTCCAGCAAATGGGCTGGAGACAGATAGTTGGTAGGACCAATAATAATAATAATAATAATAATAATAATAATAATAATAATTTTTATTTATATCCCGCCCTCCCCAGCCGAAGCCGGGCTCAGGGCGGCTAACAACAATAAAACAGTACAACAGTACAACA